ACGTTCACTTTGCATTTTGTAAATTGATCAACATAAACAATTACAATATATATTTTTGAAAGCATTCTTACTTTATAGCATTTTTTCATGCCTGCCTAAAACTTTTGCACAGTACTGTATTTCTGATTTCAACGAAAGGAATGCACACGTTTTTGTAAGCCTGCTGTAGACTGTAAGCTATTTGGTACTATTTTATAGTATTTATCTCAGTTTTATAGTTCCTAGCATTGTGAACATATATGGTAAATGCTCTTTTGTCATGAAAAAGAGAACTTGACTTTGCTGGTTCACCTAGGATGCGCTCTTGTAACTGTTGGGTTACTTTCCCTGGAACTGAGGGATATTAGTAATAATAATGGAATAATAATTGTGATTCAGTAGCCACATTAGCATATCATTCTAAGCTGTCATTTAGTTCTACTTGCACAGAAAGTATGGAGCCTTTGTGAAACAGATTTCTCTCCCAAGAGGAAATCAATCAGGATGCAGGGATACACTGGAGCTGATGTTTGGCTTGTTATTGGTGTAAGCCAGGAATTCATTCATCAATTAATTGGTGTACTTGATTAATGTGCCACCATTGTGATGGAAAAGAATATTCAAGATGGCTTACAACTTTAAACCACAAACATAAGCAGAAAAGCACAAAGTACTAAATATTACAGAGAAAGACAACCGATTCCTGAACAACCCAATAGCAGAATTCCTTTTCAGCCATGATTCTTGCTTCACGTGTAACACCAAGAGTTTATTAAAGTGAAACCAAACCCTGCTTTATTTCTCCTCCTAGCTGCAGAGGTGGGAGTGAATAATTGTAGAAGTATAAGTGAGCCACATTCTGTTTGTGTATCTAGGACTAAGCTATTTGTGGTTGTTTTGATAAGTCACCATTCATCATGCACACCCTTTCCCTTTAACAGTGGCTTCTTTGAAGCAAGCTAGTTCCATGGGTCATAATTTGAAGTTGTTTTGTTTCCCTAACATGGTCCAGATTGGGGGTACTTCTATTATTTTAGCAAGCAAAGCAAAGAGGGAAGCAAAAGTTCTAGTCTCTCTTATCACTGCGCTGGAGATACAAGGAGGGCGGCGGGGGGTGGTCCTGTGTCTCATTTCATCCATAACTGAGCACCAGGGATCTTTCTTTTTTTTTTACGCACATGCCCTGTCAGGAGCCATATGGACAGAGGGTGAGGCTGAAATCAGAAGTTGGGAGGTCCCCTTTCTTTGCTTTTTTTTTTCCTGACAAATGTATCGCTAGGGAGAATCCAGTAACTTTTGCAGAGGTTTGATCTGATTGCTTTCAAAGGGCTCCTGAAATTATTCATTCTTGGAATAAACTATGGTTTGTCATGACGCCTGAATGGCACCTTCCTAAGATTAAATTTAAGGGCTGTGTAAAATGGCTGGTAACATTTGTTCAGCACCAGTACAAGCTGTCCTTTGGGCAGGTATCTTGTGCCAGAAATGGCCTGTTATTTTGAATTCATTGTGAGGCCCTTGGAATAGTTCTAGTTACACAACTCATCCTTAATGTCTCCTTTCTCTTTTATAGAACAAGAAGAGAAAGGAACCTGTTTTTACTCATTATTGTGATACGTGTGATCGTGGCTTTAAAAACAAGGAGAAATATGAAGAACATACCTCTCAGCACAAGCAGGTGTGTTGTAATAGTGGTGGGCAACATTAGTTGCACAATTTATTGAGCTGAATAATCATGGAGTCTGACCTTTCAAAGCTGGCATGTAAGCTTGAAACATAAGCTTGTTTCATACATAAGCACTGCAAGCCAGGATTTTTAACTGTGGCTTGCCCCACCTTAGGTGATAATTTTCAGTCCGGCTGGAAGAAGCCCCTTATCCAGAAATGACATTCTGTGTCCCAGCTAACCTCAGACAGTTATTTAGTTTCTGTAGAATTCTGGCAATGTTTGATTGGAGAATCATGGCATCTTACCTTTACATGCTGACCTGTTCCAAATACTGATGGGTCTTTACAAGGGCACCTGGCAACACACTTCTTTTTCCTCTGCTGCAAGACAAGTATCCCAAAACTCCTGTAACTTGCCACCGGTGCCCTTGTGGAATGGAAGAGGTCGAAATGGTCACATATGTTCTTCTACACTGTTGATTTTATTTGGCTTTACATCAAAATTTAACCTTTACTTCTTTAGCAAAAATGCCAGGGCAGCCGGATGATTGTTATATAGCCTTCCTCTTAGCTGACAAGAACTTTCAGGTCACTTATCACCAAGTTTTGTAATTCATCTTCAAGAATGTGGCAGATAATGCATCTTGAAGACTACATTCTCCCTTGTTGGCTGGTTTGTCTTTGTTTTTCTTGTGGGCCTTCGGCTGTATGAAAATTTTGATTTGGTAGCTGTGGTTTGCTAAACAAGTCACAGTGGCCTGGTTCACATATCATGCTAAATGTATGTATGCTGATGGAGGTTCACCCATCAGATTAAGCCAAACACAAACAAACCACATTACAACACAGGATGAACCAAGAGTTAAAGGACTGTCTCATTCAGTTGCTGCAGTATGGCATTCCCCGATGTAAAGCCTTCCAGCTTTTCAGAGGGATGTTGCTCGGCTTCCTTGACCAGCTTTTCTCATAATTAGAATTTAAAAGATGTAACCCAGCTGTCTGAAACATGAAGCAAATTGAAGTCATCCCACAGTGGTGTGGAGTTTTGACCATGAAATGGCAGCAGCCAAACTGATTTAATAATTGAGCCTCGGGCAACGTTATGTACTTTATTCACTAAGAAATACTTAGTTCTGAGGGAAAGGATAGACTGTTATGAGTGAAGTCCTTTAGCTCTTTTGTGTTGTTCCTGCTTCTGGATGTGAGTATTGATTTAAGTAGCTCAGATTAAGTAGCAAATAAAAAGGATGTTTTAACAAATTATTTAAAGTGTGTGACACTTGGCTGATTTCCTTGACATTATCTTATTGTTTTAGTACTTTGTTGATTATTATATGGCATTAAAGAGTGTTTGAAGTTGTATCTTTGGCTACAAAACTCTTATCTACTTACTATACTGCTGGAAGCCAGTTATGTGCTTCCTGGAGTGATGTGTGGGAAGTAAAAGGACAGTATATTTAATCTTTTGCAAACTAAAGAAAGAATACAGTTTGTCTGTTGCGAATTTCTTTTTCTGACCACTGCTACATCTGTTCCCACTGAAAAGATATGAGATTACTCAAATGACCTGCGCCTACAGAATTTCTTTTGAAAATTAAAATTTAAGGCAGTTTTAGATGTCGGGATTTGGAATAAGTCTTGTCACAGATCACTCTGTTAAGCTGGGAATAAGCAGCAAACTCCCCTGGAATTAGAGAATAGGTCCATTTTGAAATAAGAGGAGAAAGACTAGTGGTGTGGATGCAGAAAAAGTAAAGGAAGGAAAGGAAATCACTGTAATTTCAACATATTGTACTGCTACATTTTTAGCTTGCTAAACTGATTTTAAAGGTGATGTCTTTATTCTTTCAGTGTACAGAAGATGGCTGCAACTTTAGAGCACATGAGAAATTGGTTCAGATCCATTGGAAAAATGTACGTATTCCCCTGTTTCAGCCTGATAACGCTTTTCCAAGGATTGTAATGTGGTCTTCTCCTTTTCCTATCTTAGACATCTTGTTTTTGGAATTTGTCCGAAGTATCTGTGACTGGTAAACAGTTACAGTGAATAAACAGCAGAACACCTTTATGTAACTGCTTTGAAAGCTGCAGAATGAGCTTCGGGTATTGTGAAATGGTGGGGGTCAAGCATTGATGCTTATGGCATATTGCTTGGTGTGTCACTGCTTTTAAAAAACCCCTTCAACAATGCAACCAATGAAAATTGCCTTGAATCTTAGAGGTAAAAAAAAAGTAAGGAGGAAAATATTCTGTCAAAACAGTCTGAGTTCTGATTTAGTGCTCTCATCTTTGATAATATCCACAAATCTGTAGAGTCTTTCTCATTTCCTGTGCTTCTGTACTTTAAGTTATGCCAGAAATTCCAGAACTCTATCACTGACGAAGAGGAGACAATAATAAGGGCTATGAGAACTTTTTGAACATGAAATATTTAAAACACAAGCATGTGTTAATATTAATAAACAAAAGGAGTGTATATTGAACTCTTAATGATAATTTAACCCATTGATCCTTTGGATCCTTTCACCTTTGGGTGAGATTTATTCCAGAATGTTAGGGTCTCTTGCTCCTTCTTGTGACTCTTGAACCTTAAGAGAGTTGTTCTTCAGCTAGCAGATGAAACATTTCAGTTTGATAAATATTGCTTTTCTGGTTTTGTTCTTAACCGCTTCTTTTTCCCACCCCACAATTTTGAGCCAATATTCCAGGAAATACTCTCTCTGGCTTCCTGTCATACCATACCTGTTTAGTACAGACATTGACAGGTGTGTGTCTTATGCGCTCTATTCTCAAGTGATACACCTATCTCACCTTTTCCACACCGCTCAAGATTCCAGATATGGGATTCTTAAGTAGTCTTCTGTCCAAAGAATTTTACCTACTTAGCAAGGCTTCATAAGAGATACAGTACCTGCAAATTGTAACACTGTGTAAGAGGGAAATATAGTGGAAACAAGTAGCAGTTGTGGTCATTTTTTCCAATCTTATCTTGCACAGCATTTTTTACAATTAATTTTAAAAGAGGTGCATGTTTCATAATGCTTTGAGATGTGTTTTTTTCTTCCTTCTTAGATGCATTCTCCTGGTGCCAAGCGAATCAAATTAGACACACCAGATGAAATTGCTAGATGGAGAGAAGAAAGAAAAAAGTGAGTAGGTGTTAGTTTGTGGAGATACAAATGCCAGTCTATTAATGGCAGAAGAAGAGGGGGTTTCCCCCCAAAAAACTTTTATTTATTCTTTCTCTCTGCCTGCAAATTTGCATTTTTTTTTTCTGGGGCCATTAATAGAGGAAAACTGACTCAGGGTTGTGATCAGTTACAGAAATGAATGAATGTAGTGATTTGATTGATTGTGAGGCTGAAGGTTAAACTTACTGAGCACTTTATTGTCGTAAATGGATTGATCATTAAGCCTCCTCTGCATATTACTCTAGAAATTTCCCTACTTTGGCAAATATTGAAAAGAAGAAAGCATTAAAGATGGAAAAGGAATGTCGGGGAGAAGTGCTGACCACATTGCAATTTGGGTAAGGTTTATTGTAATCTCTTTGCTCTTCCTTCTTAGTAAATTCTGAATGTAACCAGCCAGTCTGTTCCCCCCTCCCACTTTTTTTTTTTAAATTAACTGTATTAATCTTTTTGAACTTATGGCCTATTTTGAATTCTTAGGAAATGTTGGAGGCACCATCTTAAAATGGCTGCCATGGGGGTGTAGCAGTTCTCAGGATGGGTGCAGGTGGACCCCTTTAAAACATACCTCCTCTTCAGATCCACGTCTTCCCCTTTTAAGGATTCATGTGCGCTACTCTCCTGCCAGAAGTTGGCTAGAGGAGAATAGTAGCCCACCCTCCATTCTGGGACATAGAAGCTAACTGGGTTTTTAATGAGGGCTAGACTTCTACCTTCTCCCACCTGATGTCTAGCGGGGAGGATTTAAAGTCAGTGAAGTCCTGGAAGGGTTTGTGGTGAACACAGATTACTATATTAACTGTTACTATACACTCAGAGCAGTTTTGAGATTTCCAGATTTCCACCCAGATATTAACCCAGCCTAAGCTTACTTCATTTCTGATTATTTTGGCCTCCTTTGTTCTATTTTCTAGGCTAGTAGAATCCAAGCTAGCCTGTTCGACCAGCGTGGGATTACCATCAGCATTAGTACAGATAGCTTTACCTGTGTAGCTACAGAAGAACTGTAAACTAGACATCTTCAGAATATCTGGCAATTATTACAAGGGACACAGTGTAGCTTGTAACCTGAAAGGAGAGGAATCTGTCAATGTTCTCCTGGGCAATGTTTCTCAAACTCTTGATTCTTGGCTAGAGGCATGAATGATTTGAAGGGTCTTGTAAAAGCTCAGGGATTTGGGGATCTGTGAGATGGTATTTGTCCATCTCACAGTTAATCTAGAAGTGGTCTGGAACAAATGTTTTCTCTTTCAGCAAGATGAAGGGAATGTGGAAACCTCAATATGAAGTTTCTAGACAACAAGGAAACACACAGAGAAGAACAAATTGGTGCTATAATAAATCTAGGGAAGTTTCTAATGACAAAGATTTCCCACTAAATGGTTCAACTGTGACTGGTCCCAACAACCATGGAGCTGAGGAGAAGATTAGAAGAGAACCTTCTGGAGACACACAAGACTCTATAACAGATAGAGACCCCCTTAGCGTTCTGGCCAGTAGTGATCCTGGTAAGATACTTCTTTTGTTTTTGTTTATAGTTAGTTAAGCAATGATGGAGGAAATTGTGTTTTATTTCAGTTATAAAATAAACCTTGTGCAATTAATTTTTATGTCTTTTAATTTTTTCAAACATTGCAATGTGTTGCTTTGAGCAGCCAACTGGGGAGAAGCTGCCTTTAGAAGGTTAGACTCAGAATTTAAGAGAAATTCACCTGAAGGAGAAAGAACTAATCCATCTGAATGAATTCTTCAAAATCTAAGAGAGAGTAAAATAGCTCTTGGTGTTGGTTAACTGAGACTATGTTTTAGAGGGAGACTGTGAGTAAACTAAACCACCACTGTAAGAAAGCTTGTTTGGCTTAAGGTAAGAATATCTGGTTTGATAAATTAGGAGAGCTGTTTGACAGCTTAAATAAGGCAGGTGAATCCTGCTGATTGTCCTGAAGAAGAGAATTTCACAGCTACAGTTAAGGAAATCTAAAAGGAAGATATTAAATAAACTAATAGGAATAAGGTTTTATTTATTTAATAATTTATTTAACAATATTTATAAGCAACCCCAGTTGGGGCTGTGTGATGGTTGTAATGTATTTAGATGGATGTTCTCCCGCAATCTTGTTTGTATTTATTTTTTAAAGTGTGTTTAATAGTTGTGACATTGTTTTAATTGTTGGTTGTACACTGCCCAGAATCATGTTCAGTGAGATGGACAGCCATATAAATGTGTTTAATAAATAAATAAATAAATTCTTTGTGGACTCTGAGCAGCTCACAATAGTTCAAAATACAAGACAATTAAAAATTAATGATGTTCAGCTATGATGGTCGCCCAAACAAAACTACAGTCCAGTAGCTTGCTACAATAATTTAACTTGCTTCCTAAAAGCAAAGAAAGTCAGAGCCACCTGTAATTCCAGGAATTATATACTTCATAAAGCGTGGTCACTCCCAAGAACATTGTGGAAAATATAGCTGTTGCTACAGAGCGTACTGTGAGAGCCAGATTGGGTACAGACTGTTTCCTGTTTTGGGTTTACTTTTGGAATAGCCAGATCAGAGTCTGGAGGAAGAAGCTCTTTTTACAATCTGTCTCCAGAACAAAAGGTTTTGTCCATTCCTAACGGCCACTGACCTACAATAGTGACATCTCTGCACAAAAATTGGGATAAGAGTTATAGGGGTGGAGCCAAGCTCTTGGGCGTGACAAATGAACAAATTATTTAGCTAAAAGGCCAAGAGCTGCTGGGAAAAAAGGATTGCTGTAGTGGAAGGAAAAATGAAACTCCCCCTGTGACCCCAGTCCTCAGTTTCTTTCTTCAAGGCTGGTCTCAGTAGAGTCCTTGGTCCATCCAGGTGCTGTTGGTGCCAGAGTTAAGTCAGTTTCATTTACACATCTGTTTTCTTAAGTGGGTTCATTTGTTCACTAGTTCACTAGGAAAGAAGCTTTGGGACAGTAGTCATATATCAGAATAAATTCAGATAGAATTAGAGGGTTCAGAAAACCCTCTCACCCTTATATGAACTGGTATCTCTAAGCAGATAAACGTTGGTGAGGTTGTTTGGTTTCCCTCATACCAGTTTCTGAAATTATCACTGGACCACTTCCGTATATGTTCACCCATAAAGGTGGTCAGACTGACAGACGAGGGCTGTAGAGTCTTCTTACTAGGTCTTCCCTCTTGTGAGGTCTGTGTGGGACAAATAATATGTTTATATGCAGTATATGATTCTGAAGTACTTATTAGAGCAGGCAAACTGAAGCTGCCCAAATGATGCTGGAAGGGAAGGAGACATAACAAAAACCGGGTTGTTGTCTTTTTCCATGGTGTGAAGGGAGTCAGTATATAAGTACAGTAAGGGACACTGCTTATGTCAGAAGGTGCTAGTATCGGTAGAAAGGGCGGGCTTGGAGTCTCTTTAGAAGAGCAGCATGCAAAGCTGCCAGGTCAGCCCACAGTAAGGTCACCCCATGTTGTTATCAGATCCTGCATTCCTGCAGTAAAGGTCATGTCATAGTTTGCACCACTTTTATAAGCCTGTGTATTATTTCCAGAGGGTATGTAACTTTGTGGATCTCGTGGCTTTTCTGCGTTCCTTTGGCGAGGAGCCCAGTGATCACTAGCCGTGTATGCCCATAAAAGATACTTTGCCCTATCTATCTCCAAACACTTTGTTCCCAGTCGAAGTGGATGTTTTTCCCACAGCACATCCAGCACTTGAGTCTTTCCAGAGAAACCCCAGAGACTTGTCCGGTTGTCTCTACTATGATGCCCCTCAGTTTTATTTGTCCATTCTTTATTTTTGGCCAACTTTTGTTTGTCTTTATCAGTCCTGCCAGAGTGTCACCTTCATCAGCTTATCAGTCATGTCAATAAAACAGTCCATAAATAATGTCTGTCTCTTCCCAGAATTAGACAAAGAGGCAGGAACTTCCAGAGATCAAGCTCTGGGAACTAGTATTGTTCCAAACCAGGTGACCCCGGCCCTGAGCTCCCTGGTTGTCAACTACGGCAGCTTGTCTGAAAGCGAGAGTGAACAGGACGGTAAGTTGGATGTTTATGGAAGCAGGAGAAATAAAAAAGATGGGCAAAATAAATAAGACCATGGGGTATTCTGATCAAAGAGCGTTCCTCTTTATTTTTTGGCCCAGCCCAAACGTTCTGCGGAGCAGATGGATCACCTGTTTGCAGAAGTCAGTCTTCTAGAACAGAAAATGGCTTCCCTTTGCACACTACTAGGGGTCACTATTCCAAATGTTTTCCTTTGCCCTCCAAAGGCCTATTTTCGGTTGGGGGAATTAACCCGGGGGAAAGAAATGCTGATAGAACAGCCCATTTTGCACAATATTTAATAGGGTAATAGAGAAAAGAGCATAGCATGATAGAACTGTGGTATACTTTTTAGGGTTGGGGTTATCTTCATACCAAGCCATCACTAACTCATGGAGTTGCAGAATGAACGTGTTGACAGGCAACAATTCAAGACGTGTAGCTTCGTAGCTAATGGCACTAATTGGCATGTTTGTACTTGTGAATTAGCATCTGAGTACCTACTATTCTCTTAGAGCAGCCTGTCAATTTAGATGGAAGTTTTGATGGTATTGCTGAAATAATACAACATTGCACATATTTTGAAGTGCCTTTAGGTTTACTGAAAGGTTTTCCCAATGTTTCTTTTCCAAATAATTAATTTTATCTGCAAGCACATGACGTGATTGTTCATATTAACACTAGTTCTCCTTTTTTATATGCATAATAAATAATCACCTTATGCAATCACAGTTCCTAAAAGGAACTGTTGCCAAACTGTAATGAACTTCTAAATTATAAAACATCTAAACTGTAAAAACCATGTGCTTTAGTCCCCCCATCTTAAAAAAATATTGGAGCACTTTTCACCTCATTGTTCATTGTAGATGCAGATGCACGTGATGTGGATTATACACCATTATAATAACTGATCTGTGAAATGACAGATTCAGGACAAAGTGTCTTTTCATACTGTGCATGATTGACTTGGGGAATTTACTGTGACAAAGTGAGTAGCATTTGTTTAGCTAGTTTAAATGAAGATTAGACAGATTTGTAGAGAATATCGACTCCTATCATCCATGTGGTGATTTAAAAAAAACAAAAAGCAGATGGGAGGAACTTAGATTCTATGCCATGATCCTAAATCAGTTCTTTATTAATCAGTACGGTATCAAAAAGTTATCTGACCATAAATAAATCTAGATGGAGAAACTGTGTCTCATATGTTTGTAGATTACCTTCAGCTATGTGACTTTAAACCCATAACAAAACCTGTGTTAAATATAGAGTTGGTAAAAATAGGGTGCATGGATATCATTGACTCCTGCTATTTCTAAAAAATGTGAGTAAATTGAACTTTATTTTTGTGATAGGCTGTGTTAACTATAAAAATGGTATCTTGGTTCATCCAGTACAAGTAAAATATGCACTACAATGCTCATAACTCAGTATCTTTTCATAGCTGTTTTTTTTTTAAATTTGAGTCCTTGCATTGCTTAATCATTTGTTTTTTAAATTAGAGGCCATCACTCCTGTAGCAAAAACAGTAGCTGAAAATGAGGCCATTCCCAGAAATACCCCTCAGTCTTCAAACAACTCTCAAAGCTGTGAACAGGAGGATCATCAAGAAGCTCTCTGTTACCCATATAAAGGGGCAACACCGGGAAGAGCAAAATCACATACAAGGAGCACAAGAAATCTGAAAAGGCAGAAGAAATCACTTCCTGCACTGCGAAACCACCACCCAACTTTGCTAGAAATGGTAAGAGGCCTTTTATTTTCAGTATTTTTTTAGTTGGTACCTATGAATGTTATCACTTTAAGTAGAAATTTGTTCCCTTCAGCTTAGGGTTGTTGATTCCAAGAGTTCTCTAGAAGATTTTACTGCACTGCTGGTGAAGATTTTTTTTTTTTTTTTGAACAGACCTACTGAAATGCATAGATCTTACTTTAGTCATCATTCCAATATACCAGAATAAGATGAAATTGCAACAAGGTATCTTTTATGGGAATGTTGATTTAGGCAGTCTTTACCCCCAGATTCTTTCCTCAGGTTAAATACTGCAAAAACAGATTGGGCTTATCAATATATTAATGCGGATTGTTGGGTTTTGGCTGAGTGCGTTGTGTTTATTCAGCAAACCATTGCTAAGCATGATATATAAGCTCAGCTGTAGAATTCAAAAGTCTGCTCTGCGGAAACCAGATAAACTCGAAATATCTGTTGACATTCTGCACCTTTTTCTGGCTGCAGGGCTGGTGGCTATGTTGCTTTACCATGCCTGTTCAGCAAACCTCTTTCCAACAGATGGCCTTGACTCAGGTTATAAGCATAACAGGAACAATACATTACAAGGAAAAACAGCTGCTAAAATTCATGAAAAATTTCTTCAGCGCTGTCCTTAACACAAGAAAACAGGATTGACCAGTGAGAATGTTCAGGAGTAATAGAAAAATTATGGTACATAATGTCATAGAACTACTGCCCTGCTACATACTCTTTGTGCAGAACAAGGGCCTATGTGTGTATATTCTGAACGTTACAGGCAGTTCAGCATATTTTGTGGCCTAAAAGGCTGCATTGCAACTACATATGCCACATGTCTTTGGATGTCTTGCTTGACAAGATACTGTCACAATAGGATGGTTCTTGAACTCCACATTTATACCATGACCCTTTTTTAACGCAAGTCCCAGTTGTGTGGCGCGTGAATTATACCCAGGTTTGCAGCGCATCCTCTCTCTCTGGCCCAATTCGTAGCAGAATCTTGCACTAAATTTGGGGGTCAAGGCCAGACCAAAGTGAATATCCAACATGAGACTGTATTGGATGATTTCTTTCCATCTCTGGCTGTGCTTAAAAGATAAAATAAATTCAAACCCTGCTCTGGGTTGGAAATGCATTTGCTGACCATGCTTGTTTGTAATACTCTGCATAATTCTTTTAACGTAGCTCTTTGGAGACTGGTGGCCATATACCATGTATCTTTTCTTCCTTTTCTTAGCTTCTAGCAAAGGACATACGACATGAAAGGAACGTGATTCTACAGTGTATCCGCTATATTCTCCAAAATAATGGCCTTGGACCCCATTTAGAAACTAATTCAAGCACTCTGTTGGACAGCGAGCCAACTCCTTGGCATGCAAAAGAGTCAGCGACAGACAAGCCTTGCAAAGTAATCAACTCTCTCAACTTTGACCAGAACAAAACAAAACCAAATGAACTATTTGAAAGCAAGGAAGTCTCTGCATCTCCTGCTGTTGATGAGGATGTTTGGGAATCTACAGCGATCACTTGTAAAGACAACTGATTTTTTTTTTTTTTTACCCACACATGGGTGACTATTGCCCATATTGGGATCCTTGCTGAAACTCCTCAGATTGTACATTGCATCCAAAGAATTTGTATAAATTTAAATTAATTGTTTGATGAAAACTAAAACTCAGTTAGGCCTTGTGATATTATGATCTTGCAATGTTATTCTTCAGGGATTCATTTTTACTTACTGTAAGTGTGAATAAAAATCATATTAACACTGTTTTATTCACAGTCTACGTCAGGCATGTCCATAGGGTGTGGTCAAAAAAAGTCAAGGTAGCAGCCACAACAGTGCGACTGAAGCTCTGTCTATTTTTTAAGTGTGTCAATATGCATGTAAAATATGGGTGGAGCTTTTGATCACACCATCATGGCTGCCATTTTGACTTTTTTTTACCATAACCTGCAGAACACTTGTTTTTCGTTAGATTGAAACAAGGTGTATGAGCCGCCTTGGCCACATCAGGTGAGCGAGTCCTGCCCTGACTTTCTTCCCAGTGGTTTATTAATAAGAGGTGCTTTTCCCCTTGCCCACCTTAGTTACAGAACTGTGGTCACGTTGGAGAGGAGAGGTAGGAAAGCCAACTGTAGGTGACAAGGAAGGAAATGCAACCCCCTAATATTAAAACCAGAGCCCATCCCAACTTCGGAGTGAATGTGATAGACCAGCAAAAAAGAAATAATGCCATCGCCGTTGTCCTGTCCTTGGACTTCTGAATGAGCAGCGGGCAGTTTCATGTGATACTAAAAATCTGTATCACTAGCGACCTTCACTATGCTGAAAGAAAAAATATACAAAAGAAAAGCCTTAGAAATCAGTTTTCTGTATCTTAACCTGCAAATAATGGACACATTCTGCAAGTGATTTGAGTTTTATCTTTATTGTTGCTTTATTCTCATTCCCGTGATGGAAAATTTTTACCAGAGAACAGAAGTATGCAGTAGGTGTTTATCTGCTCAGATTAGACTTTGAGATAAAGCAATATTCCCTGCCCCCTTTCTGCTCTGGTTTTAAAGTTGTAATATATCAGCATAAGAGCCAGTTTGGAGTAGTGGTTAAGGCACCAGGCTAGAAACCAAGAGACTGGGTTCTAGTCCCACCTTAGGCATGAAGCCAGCTGGGCGACCTCGGGCCAGTCCCCCTCTCTGACTCAAAGGCATCAGAACAAAAACATCAGCACCCAATAAAGTTTATATTGCCTAAATTGTCCATTTAGCTTTTGAAAAACAGAAACATTAAATTGGATTTTAGTTGATAACATTCAAACTGTCTGTAATTGTCTCATTGTCCTAGATGAAGTTTGCTTTCTTCTGTAGTTAATACAATGCGTGTTATGACAGGGCCATTTAAAGACAGAGCAATGAGAAATTTCCCTGTAGCGTGTTCAATGCAGTTCTATTAACTTCCACAAACCGCCATTTTAAAAACTTGAACTATAATTAAATATAGTCCCACCTTTCAGAATTCACCTCAAGGATTGATTTGAATTACAAGGATAGTTTCCAAATACCATCAGCGATAGATGTGCTGCGAAGAAGCTAGCAGCATGGCTAATGAGACATCACCACATATTCATTATCTCACATGGCGTTACTTTGGGTAATCATTTCACCAATAAATAGCTGTGAAAACCACGCTATGAGCATCCAACAGTAAAATAAAAATTATGCTTAAAAAAAACGCTGGGATCCTTGCTACAAGGCAATTGGTGGCATTGGCCATGGGTAATCTTTTATGTGTCTCTTCATTTACTGAGGTATTTCATAGGACACTTAGCATGGAAAAGGTTCCCTTCTCAAACCCTAGATGAGTTGAGATTTGTGACAAATTTTTAAAAAGAAGAAAGTTTAATACCTACTGCCATAAGCATTTACAGTAATTCAGCCCATGTTGCTAACCAATAGAAAGCTAAAATATTGTTTGAAATAAGAGAGCATAGGATAACAAAAGCAGAAATAAACCTGGAACCCTCTAAACATTTGGACAGAAACCTTTAGAATGCTTTGAATGTGAATAGTTTCAAGCTTGAAATGCCTCATTTTGCACTTAAAACAGTCTACCCCAAATAAGTCTAAACTGTTAAAGTGGGACACAGCTCATCAGATACAGCTGCATTTTGGAGCTTACTACTGTACTTTTTATTGTGAATTTTTAGCATGTAAATTAACATTCAGGATGTTTTTTGAAAAGAAGTGGAAACAAATCTTGAATGTAGTGCAATGTCTGAAGCAAAAAAAAAAATTGCATATTGCTTACATCTTCATTATTTTCACAGCTAAACAAAGAAGTCCCTTTCTTGGGTTCCAATAAACGTTGCCTTCTCTGTATTCAGTCTATAGCAGTGCTTCTCAACCTCGGCAACTTTGAGAGGTGTGGACTTCAACTCCCAGAATTCCCCAGCTAGCATGCTGGCTACAGAATCCTGGGAGTCGAAGTCCACACCTCTTAAAGTTGCCGAGGTTTGAGAAACACTGGTCTATATTGTACAGCAATGCTGGAAAATTTCAAAGGCCAAAATAGGCTTGGTACTTTAAGTGAGAATTGCTTCTTTTATGGAGAATTTGGACTTAGAACATTTAGGGAAGGGCTGAAAATTCAACAATGTAAAGATATCTATGATTTCAACCACATTCCACGTTTCTTCAACAGTTTCTGAACATTTCATAAACAATAACTACATTTTCCAGCAGAGGCGGTATCTTGCTCTGCGAGGTGGCCAGAAAGAGTTAAAAAGATAAAAATGGGCTAAGTTTTTTTTTTTTATCGCAGTTAGGAAAGACATGGCCAAGAAAGTATTATAAGTACTATTCTTCTCTTTGCAGATCTCTGAGTAGAGTAATGACTTCTGATCAGTTTATTGAGCGAGAGCTGGCCTTGGTGCCTTCACTGCACACTTCTGCACATCTCACTAAAGTTGGTACCGATCCTACTATTCTTCAAGTGCCTTTCAACTGAATGTTGAATGTGTTGTATTACACTACTACAGGGCCTTTGACTAATGGTGCTTGTGAGTTCACAGTCACTTCAAAACATACTAGGAGTCACTCCAGTCAAACCTATCCCAACGGAAACAAGAAAGTGAACCACTTGGGCTTTAGAAAGTGGGGGAGGTGTTTAAAAGTCATTAAAATTGTGAGGCATTGGCAGGAAACTGGGCAAAACCACAAAGTAGGCTGTGATTTTAATTTCTGCCCATAACCTGCATTGTTAGAACATCCTTGCCCATTTTTCCTCCATGTGTGCTATGTTGCTCAGTGACCTATTCCACAAGAAGACACACCATTTTAAGAATGTATTGGATAGTTTGTGATGGTTTTCTTTTTAGTCAGTATTTTTATAGCCTAATTTGTATGTTTATTTTCTATGACTATGGTAACATTCCTGTGGATGGTCAAAAACTAATAAAATTTTGATTGACTGGCAATACCCTCTTCATTAAATTTGAGAACTTCGAGGGCAGGAAAAGAGTCCCACTTTCTAAAAGCAGAACACAATAGACTATGCCAAGTCAGTGATTAAAAGTGCTTTGCATGTAAAACAAAGGCTTTATCCCTGGAGCCTTTTTGTCCACAGAAATAGTCAGCCCTTCTTTAAACAGCAATAACATTCTCTTCTATTAGCAATAACATCATTAAAAAGCCAGAAAATGTTGGGTTGTACACTGATATAAAGAATTTTAAAGACTGAGATTCAACTGAGACCAGAACTTTTCTTGTTGGGATTAATGGACAGACAATTAGAAAAGAGCCACGGAAGACTATTTGTATATATGATCACTGCCGCGAGACTAATACATGCACAGAAGTGGAAAGATTCTGATATACCCAGAATGGAGGAATGGTGGTGAAGATGATGGAACTAGCAGAGATGGCAAAATTAACCTGTTTGCTTAGAGAAAGATCAACTACTACATTTATTAATGACTGGAAACCCCTTATGGACTTTTTGCAAAAAAAAAAAATGAATTTGTGATTCATGGGTTTGATGATTAGGGTAGATTATGGAAAGAAGGAAATTATGATGTAACCTTAAAGAGAGAGGGGAAAATATAAATGCTTTTATAACCATTGTCAAAAAGATCAGAAGCTGCTTCTTTATAAACTTTCTCCTTCCTTCCTTCCTTCCTTCCTTCCTTCCTTCCTTCCTTCCTTCCTTCCTTC